TTTTTTTTTTTTTTTTTTTTTTTTTTTTTGCTTTACATCACATAGACCATAATTTGTGGCTTTTGCTGGATATTTGAAAAACCAAAAGTCATTGAAAACTGCACTTGTAATTTATCTGGTTGATGGATTAATTAAAACGTTTTCATTGAAGAGTTGCAGTGAAAAATTGGAATAAGTTGACGTTCAATACTGTTAAGCAAAACAAATTGTTTCTGTCTTTTGATAATTATTAATTGCCAAAAACTTTAAATTTTTGATCTTTTTTCTTCTTGTTGTTGTTCTTTTGTTTACTCTTTTTTTTTTCGTCATCTTCTGCTTTTTTTTTTTTAAATTTATTATCTGTCACCCAATTACCGGTGAATATGTATTTCTATGAATATAATTATTATGTTGTTATTATTGTTTTTGTTGTTGTTGTTGGTGGTGGTGGTGGTAATGATGATGGCTGATAGTTTTAATTTATAATGATGACTTTTGAATTGTTCAATTAATTAATAGTTTGATCAATTTTAAAGATGTGGTTTTCTGCAAGTTGGCGATCAAATTGTATCATTGGATGGTATATACTTGGAGAAGACATCATTACAACATGCCATGGATATTCTGGACAGTTCTGTACCAACACTTCGAATTGAGCTGATGCCATCCAGTGAACAACGGAATCCTAAACATGATATGTTGGTTTTTTTTATCTGTATCTCTTTTTTTTAGGGCAAGACTGAATACTGCTTTAGCGTTATGACAGTTTAACTGTGCTGTTAAATTCGGTAATGAGTAAAATTTTTAAAAATTGAAAGTATTTTTAATTTTTTGTTATTATAAACAAAAGTTTGAACATTTGCCCTGAAAAATCAAAAAGAATTTAAGGAAAGTTATAAAAATGAATGAATTATGGATAATACAGTTGACAGGTTGTACGAGCGTGTAAATTGAAGAGAAAAACGATTTACTCGTCATTTTTTTGTTATTAAAAAAAATTTTTTAAAGATTTTGTTGAAGCTGATTTTTTTTTTTGGAAGGATAAGAGAGGATAAGAGTTTCATGAACAATGTGCAATAATAAATATCGCTTTTCGTTATGCTTCTTCTTTTTCTTCTTTTTTTTTCTTTCTTTTTTTATTTTACTGAGCACTAAAAAGGTTCATTAATTTTTTTTGGGTGAAATTTTGAGAGTTTTTCTCAACATAGGCTCACCTCTTAGTTCTTTTTTCTTTTCTTTTGCTTAGTTTATAATCGGATTTTATTTTTTTTTTTGTTTTTTTTTCTAACAGGCTACCAGTTTAGAAGTCGGAAAAAAATCTTGTTTTTTCTTCTTCAACTGAGACAAACATCAAAATTACTTCTATAGTATAATGTTTTGGCTAGGGGAGAGGCGCGGACGGGAGAAGGCGGAGGGAAAAGGGTTTGTAAGATGACGTAAAAAAAGAGGAAAAAATTTCAAAAAGATAAGGATGGAAAAATTTTTAGCAGTAAATTTGCTTTATTTTTCAGGCGTTAAATGGTATTTAAGAGGTCTGAATTGCTTTAGTATTTATAGCTTAAATATACGAAACGATGACGAGTATTGTTAAAGATCTGTGTGTACTTATTTGCAGAGGCCAAAAAATGCTATCAGAACAACAAATACACTGAGTTACTGCTTGCCTTTTTT